CTTTAATAAGTTGTACTTACGCACAATCTACTTGCAATCTTGAGTTTTAAGTAATATGCATTATTAAACAGTACTTTACGCATAAAAAATAGTTTTTAAGAGTTTTTGTCAAATGATTTATAATATAGTATAGATAATATTCTCTAATATATGATTTAGTATATTTTATTTTAAAAAAATGTTTATAAAAAATAATAAATTAATCTTATTAGTGAAATTGAATAAAATAATCATTTTATCTCTTTCTAACATCAAGTTTTAGATAATTCTCTATATTTAGAGTTTTTTCTATAATTTTCTATTTTAAATAACAAGATAGTAAAATTGTTGGAGCATTTTAGAGAACAAAAATTCATGTAATTTATTAAATATTAATAATAATAAAATAATATATAAAAAGTATAAAATATAATTTAGAAATTCCATAAACTTTTTATTTTGATGTTATTTCAATCGTTTTGACAAAAAACTTTTTTAATGAGATATTTTGTTTTAAAAAGTATTCTTTATTTATTATAATTTAATAAAAGTATAAACAACTAATTAAGAGTAAATTGGTAGTTTTATATGCTCTATTATATCCAGTTTTGTCTTACCAAACGTTGAACAATTGTTCTATCATGTTTTCTTCTATCCTCTTTTATTCTGTCCTGATTTCAGACACACCCTAATTAAATCAGCAATGTGGGGGTGTATAGTTGCGTTAAGGACCAAACTCATTCTAGAAATGCAATCATAAGGACATATGATTCGTTGAATTTTAAAAGAAAAGGACACGAACCGTTAAAAATACATAATCACACAAACGTCATTTAGTTTATAAATATACTCTGATTTATAATCCTTAATTTTTTTTTAAAAATGTGTAACATCATAGGCCAACCGTACAAGAATATTTTTGCTTTGTCCATATTTGAACCTATGGGTTTAAGCACGTCTGATGAGAAAGCATTAAGGGGCCGTTTAATTAAACACTTACCCGGTAAGCGCTTAACGGTTAATTTCAACTCTATCTCTTACTTATCGGGTAAGATTTTAGTCTACCAAAACGACATCGTATGTAACAATTTGTCTGGTAAGCTCTAACCGTGGTAAGAGTCGTCGCCATCACTTACCGGGTAAGACTTTCGGTTCGTGTCTTCACTCTTACCTAGTAAGATTCTTGGTCCTTGTCATATTTATCCGGTAAGAGAATAATACTCTTACCTGAATAAGCATTTGGTAAACGGTCTCTAAGTCATTTATAAGACGACATTTATTTCTCTTCCCAACTGTTGTAATTAAGATTATAAATATGGGGCTGAATCATCATACACAAATTATTGGTGATTTATGTATTTTGGGTGCAAAATAATAAAAAAGGTGCAACTTTTTGGGTTTGCATATGCATAAAAGGTCATGTGAGTGATGACCATGTCATTCTAACATGGTATGGTCATGTGAGTGATGACCATGTCATTCTAACATGGTATGCCCATGTGATCCGTGAATAGTTTCTGAGTTGTGGAAACTATAAAAAAAACAAAACAATTATTCATTATAATTTTATTTTAGAGAATGTTTTATAGGAAACTAGAAGGGTATTCGTGTAATGTAGCGAGATACGTATTGATTTTAATATTTTATTTTATTCTTTATCACAGTCGATGTTATAGTATGGTCTTATGTGATTTTGAAAAGCGATAATGTTTTAATTTTTGAATAAAATATAAACTTGAAGTATCATAAAAAATTTGACAAAAATATATTGATATTAGTATTAAATTAACAATTTAAAATTCATATTTTTTTGTATAATTTTTTAATTCAATTTTTTATTATAATTTAATTTAGGTTCAATAACGAAGTAATTTATATTTAGTTTAATAACATAATTTTCTTATAAATATAATAATTAATTATTTTATTAGAACTCTATAATTATCCTAATTATATTTTAGATTTTTTATTTTAAAATGAGGTGTTTATCCTTTATTTGATTATGTTTATACGCAATTAGTTACATGAAGCTTTAATAAGTCGTATTTATGCATAATTTACTTGTAATCTTGAATTTTAAATAATATGCATCAATATACAGTATACATTACCATAATTTACTTGTACTTCATGCATAAAAAATAGTTTTTAAGAGTTTTTATCAAATGCTTTATAATATAGTATAGATTACTGAAATATCCTTAAAAATCAACATAAAAATTAAATTTTATTACTATTGAATTTCCAAATCTTATTTTTGTAGGATTTCAATGAAAATCCGAAATTTCAGATCCAGTAAAAGTTTTCAAACAGAACATGAGATTGAAAAGAAATTCAATTCCAAATCCAATCTAATCCTACAAACAAACGGGATTCTTAGGTGGCGTTTGGTTTGATATAATGGTTTTGGATTTTATGGAAAATTTTGGAATCTTTAGTGTGTTTACTTTGTATGATTTGGAATTAAATTGAATTCCATTATTTATAAAAATAAATTATAAATAATTAAATTATATTTTTATCGATAGATTATTTAGAAAACAATTTTTTTAATATATTTTAAAATACTAGAAGAGTACTCGCGTAATGCACCGAGATACATCTCAATTTTGATGTTTCGTTTTATTTTGTCAACGTCGATGTTATAATACGATTTTATGTGGTAATGAAAAACGATAATGTTTTTGTTTTTTGAATAAAGTATAAAATTTGAAGGTATCATAAAATTTTAAAAAAATATATCAACTTTAATATTAAATTAAATATTTAAAAGTTCTTGTGTTTTTTGTGATTTTCTTAATTCAATTTTTTATTATAATTTAATTTAGATTTAATAATGAAGCCATTTATTTTTTGTTTAATAATATTTTTTTATAGAGATAATAATTAAGTATTTTGTTAAAACTCAATGATTATCCTAAATATATTTTAAATTTTTTATATTTAAAATGAGATGCTTATTTTATATTTAATTATATTTATCGGCAGTTAGTTACACGAATTCTAATATGAAACTTTAATAAGTTATACTTATGCACAACTTACTTGTAATCTGGAATTTTAAGTAATATGCATAAATAAACCGCACTTTATGCATAAAAAATTGTTTTTAATTTTTTTTGTCAAATGCTTTATAATATAGTATAGATTATTACATAAAAATTCTACGTAATCCCATAAAATACCATCCACCACCATGGGATTTCAAAATTCTATGTTTGTAGAATTTAAATAAAACCCTGGATTTCAAATCCAAGAAATCATCCAAACCAAACATGGAATTGAAATGAAATTGAATTCAAAATTCCTCTAAATCCAATCTAATCCTATAAACAAAACGAAACCTTAGATTCTGAGAGGGCCCTATGCACGTACTCGATCTAATTTTGTAGGGAACAAATTGGGGTAGGAAAGGTGCCATCGCTAAACGTTGAGGTCTGAGGGGTATTCTGAGATATTATAAAATACAACGAACATCCACCAAAAATCCGAAAAAGTTCCTCAAAATCAACCAAAAAATCGAAAAGTTCCAAAATCAACGAATAACCGAAAACCGTGTCCAAATCAACAAAAAAACTTTAAAATCTCCTGAAATCAACAAAAAAAAACTTAGAATTTTCCTCGAAATCTGAAATTCGGCTAAAAACACATTGAGCAACTTTACAGACCGTTGATCCATCTTAAAGAAGTCTACGCTCGACAAAAATCTTGAGTTTGCCGTTGGTCTTTTTGGTTGCTTACATTTTTTATTATCATTTTACCAGTGTTAATTTTAATATTTAAGAAAAAATAATACCCAAATAAAATAATAGTACATAAAAGATTGGGTTCCGGTAAGAAGGGTAAGAAGTGATCTCCACCCTTATATCAATTCTAATTGAAGATCAACATGAATGTGGTGCACCGAATCAATTCCTGTGATAAGCACAATTCATTAATGGGTGAGATTATAAGTGATCAAGCGTTCATATCCCCTCCTTTTACGTTTCTCACCCTAACTCTTATTCTCACACGATATTTCGTTTATAACGATACAAGTAATTAATGATTTCACTTTATATTTTGATAAATCAACTTTTATTGCATTTAATTATTCAAAACTTATTATTTAACTACAAAAAAATCAAATAAACAATAGAAAATTGATTAACAAAACACCGAAATGATTTTATACATACAAACACACACAAATGCACCATTTAGAAACTTAGCTCATTTTATTTTACAAAATTTATTGGTCTATTTTTTATAAAGGGATGGGAAATGTAGGCCCACTGGGTTATGGGCCCATTTAGAAACTTAGCTCATTAAGTAGCCCATAAAAGGTCTTTTATGATCCAATAACTGTACATGGTTTCTAAATTCGGTGATTTCCGTCATTCCGGTCGACTCGGGATTTCTCCGGTTCGGGTATCGGGTTCCGGTCGACAAAGTCCATAAAGATGTAAAGTTCTCCATATCATCCATCATCAATGGCAGCTTCTTCGTCTTCATCTTTTTCATTCAATATAATTTTGCCCACTTCTACAACTACTCTTCCCTTCTCTCGAACACACACTTCAAACTTCAAATTTTTTTGTAGTGATCAAAGAATTCAGCTTGAAACCCAACAAATTAACCCCAAAATCAAGAAGCAAAGAAAACCCAGACCTAGTTTTTCTGATCAAGTTCTTGAAAAATGGTCTCGAAAACCCACTTCATTGCTAGAGAAATTCCCATGGCAGAAAGAAGAAATACGACAACAAGAAGGGATAAATTCTATTAAATCCGTTGAAGAGGATGAAAAAAAAGAAGAAGAAGAAGAAGAAGAAGAAGAAGAAGAAGAAGAAGAAGAAGAAGAAGAAAGGGGTTTAGACGAGTCGAGAATCGGCAGCAACTCGTTTGCGGGTGACTCGGTGAGGTTTAATCCCATCAAATACGTAAAACTTGCTCCTTGGGTTCAGGAAACTAAACCCCAGAAACCAAAATTTGATTTTGAAGATAGGAATTCCCAAAAAGATAGCAATGGAGGTAAAACTGATGATCGATTTGTTTTGTCCGAGTTAAGGACCGCTAGTAACTCGTTGCTGAGTGACTCAATGATTTCTAATCATTCCAACAGTAGAATTCCACAAAAGGATGGTGGAACCACAACCATTGATGGGATTTCTTCACAGAAAGGAAACATTCAAGGGGTTTTTCTTAAAGAAGATGAAATTCAATCTGGGTTTGTGGAAGAAGATGATGATATGCAGATGAAGATTGATGAAATGGTTTCAAACAAAGGTGGAGAAAGTAAGGTTCCACTGGAGAGAGGAAGAGATCTGTTTAAGAGCAGTAGCAATACACCAATGGCTGACAAATTGATACCAGAATTTGAATTGAAGAGATTGAGGAATAAGGCAGGGAGAATGGTGGAAAGATTTAGAGTTGGTGCAGGTGGGGTTACACAAGAATTGGTGGATTCAATTCATGAAAAATGGGAAAGGGATGAAGTGGTGAAGTTGAAATTTAAAGGTCCTTCTGCCATGAATATGAAAAGGATCCATGAAAGTTTAGAGGTCAGCATTATCCTTCATCATTTATAAGTTTGTGTGTGTACAAATGGATATTGATATGATATTGAATCAGATTTTGCATAAGGATGTCTGTAAGAATTCAGAACATATCTGAATGATGTTGTTATTTCTTTAGGTAGATGATGATGGTGATGATAGATTGGTAATTGTTTGTGAAACTCAAGTTGTTTATGAACACTTAAAAGACTTTAAATCGTGTAATGAAAGATCCATTCATAACATCCGCAACCAACTGTACCAGATGTTGTCCGCTTTATCCACACATGGGCCCACAATTTTAAAATGTTTATGTCCAGATGTGGATAAAGGGGACAATATCTGGTACGGTTGGCTGAGATGTTACATCCATGTCTATATTTCTCATTTTGTGTACGCTTTTTGCTTTCCCATTACAGCATTGTGACCGATGCTTTCAAGATTTATAAGTTCTTCATTTAAACTTGGGGATATGTTTGGCAAACTAGCTGAAAAGCTAATAAGATAGCCGACTGATAAACTAGTCATGTTTGATCATAACTTACATTCATGATTGCATATTTGAATTGCTTTCTTGTTCCAAGAAATATATAATCTTGACTTTTGAAGTCAAAGCTCTAACAATTCAAATTCGAATTCAAATCGGTATATGGACTTTGTTCAAAATTTAATACCAACGATTTTCTATTCCTACGTGTTACTAAGTTTTATGTTCTAAACCAAATTTATTGAAACTTCAAGAAAAGTTCGACCGTTGAACTTGAAAGATACCCCTTTGACCTTTAGTTAGTCAAACCTTCTGATTTTCTTGTAATTGAGGGAGTGCAACATCATGAACTCTATTATTCACATGTTATACTTCTGCTAGATTCACATGTGCATTAAATCAGTTTTGTTTTTAACTTATGATGGATTCTTTGCATGCTTTCTAACAGAGTCGAACTGGCGGCTTAGTGATATGGAGATCAGGCAGTTCGGTAGTATTATTCAGAGGAATGGCTTACAAGCTTCCCTGTGTACAGTCGTTTACAGAGCAAAATTCAAAAGACATAGAAAATGATTCATCAATGAATTATCCAGCACGATATGTGAAGGATCTTTCTGAAGAAGAATTACTAGATTTAAAAGAGCTCAATCTTGTTTTAGATGGATTGGGTCCACGGTTTAAGGATTGGTCCGGCCGTGAGCCACTACCTATTGATGCAGATTTGCTTCCTTCTCTGGTTGAAGGGTATAAACGTCCATTTAGACTTCTCCCGCATGGGACTAAACCTGGTTTACGAGATAAAGAGATGACCTTTTTCCGGAGAACTGCAAGAACAATGCCTCCACATTTTGCACTTGGTATGTATGAGTCTTTCCATTCTATTGTAAGACACCAAATTTGGAGTGTGTTTGCTAAAAGACCAAGGGACTGTTTGTTAGCAACTTAATGGGACTCAACAGCTTATTCCGTCAGCTATAAATGACTGTTTGGTAGTGGCTTAATGATATAGAAAGTGGCTTATTAAGGGGGAGCTTAATGCAGAAAGCCAAGTTTTTCTCCAAACCTGCCCCACCCAATTAAAAACATGCTCCTTCCATCTATGAAAAAAAACCCTCCTAAACAAAAATCTTCCCACTCTATACAGACAGATTAATCCACACAGACAACTTTATCTATACAAGACTTAATGGGAAACCATCCAAACAACCCCTAACTTACCCTCATGATAGGAGTTGATTTCTGATGACTTTCTTATCTTATATACACCCCCTCCGTCTCAAAATAAGTGTCCACATTCAAAAGTAACCGTCTATTTTCCAATTCTACCCTTTATTATGAGATGGAGATATTCATTACTCATGCTCTTATCAAGGGTAAAATTGTTATTTGATTAACTAAAAGTGTAATAACTAAATATATCTAAAACCTGTGTGCCTTTCTCAGTGTGAACATTTATTTGGGACGGCGGGAGTATTTTATTTTCACACACTGTTTTCTATGTTTGATTACGGTAGGAAGAAATAGAAGCCTTGAAGGCCTTGCGGTTGCAATGGCGAAGCTATGGGAACAAAGTGCCATTGCAAAGATAGCTATAAAGCGTGGTGTACAGAACACTTGTAACGAAAGAATGGCCGAAGAGCTTAAGGTTAGATGTTTCACGAACTTGTTTCTTTGTGTTCTGCGGTTAAAACTACTAAAATGCCCATTTTGTTTGTTCGATTCAGAGATTGACAGGAGGGACTTTAGTCTCTAGGAACAAGGACTATATCGTCTTTTACAGGGGTAACGACTTTTTACCCTCTAATGTCACAAGGACATTGATCGAAGCATTTGATGTTAGAACTAATCGACAGGAGGATGAAGACAAAGCACGAGAAAAGGCTTCAACTTTCATTAATTTGACTCCTAAAGATGCCATTAGAGGTTCGCTAGTTGCCGGGACCCTTGCAGAAACCATCGCAGCTACGTCAAGATGGGGCGGCCAGCCGAGCCATGAGGAGATAGAGAAAATGAGGAGGGATTCAGCGGTTGCTAGACACGCTTCTCTTGTTAGATTACTTGAAAAGAAGCTAGCTTCCGTAAGTTACATAATAGCCCCCATCCCAGTTTGAAATTACCTATTTACCCATTGTCATTGTTGTCTAGATCGAATATATCGGTTCAGGTTCATGACCAAACCCACCTTTGGGGTCAGGTTTGCGTACATCTTATCCTCCACGGACCGCACCTCCATGTTGGGACGTACTCGGTTCGTTTGGTTTGGTTTTGTAATGGTAGTGGTCCCTTCATCTTCGGTTTCATGTGATTGCAGGCGAATGGAAAGATAAAAAAGGCCGAAAAGGCGTTGGCAAAAGTTCAAGAATACCTACAACCATCACAACTTCCCACCGATTTGGAAACCCTAACCGATGAGGAGAGATTTTCGCTTCGAAAGATAGGCTTGAGTATGAAACCATACTTGGTGCTAGGTAAATACATCATCACCTCTAAATTATTATTTTTTAATTTTCAAAATCAGTCTGAAAGAAAACAACCGCTCTACTCTTTTGGGTAGAGGTCAGGTCTGTGTACATCTTATCCTCCCGAAACCCCACCTCAGATGGGATATGTTGGGTTTGTTTGGCTCGGTTTTTGAAAGAGAAAGGATAAGAACAATTGGCTCTTTTAGGGCGTCGGGGAGTTTTTGATGGTACGATTGAAAATATGCACCTACATTGGAAGTATCGGGAGCTGGTGAAAATAATGGTGGAGCGAAAGAGCTTTGCACATGTCAAACATGTGGCCATTTCTCTCGAGGCGGAAAGTGGCGGAGTATTGGTGTCGGTAGACAAAACCACGAAAGGCTATGCCGTTATTGTTTATCGTGGAAAGAATTACGAGCGCCCGAATGCAATTAGGCCGAAGAATCTTTTGACTAGACGACAAGCTTTGGCTCGCGCAATTGAACTCCAACGATGCGAGGTAAGCAATTCGTCATAAGTCAACTCATAGGTTTTCTATAGTAATCACTTAAATCTAGCACGAACTAGTTAACATGTGAAAAGACGATTATGCCCTTTATCATTTCCTCAAAACCTTCTTATTAGCTGGAGGTCTTCACGGAAATAGGATTTACCAGTAACCTGGATACAGCCGAGCCTTTTATGGTGCCGGATTGGTTTTAATTCTTTGAATGTATACAGGCTCTAAAGCATCATATCTTGGAGTTATCAGGAAGAATCAAGAAGTTGAAATCGGAACTTGTATGATTTCTAACGTTCTTTAACTTTATTTTCGAAGCGATTTTGGTAAAAGAATCGGTACGAACTCGTTGCTATTTGAATTTGCAGGAAGAAATGAAGATTATTGACGAAATCGATGAAGAGACATTGAGATCAAGGATAGAAGATGATTCAGATTTGGAATCTGATTCGGATGATCATGACGGAATGGAAGAGGTAATCACGAAACCGATCATGTCCCCGATGTTTTGGCTAATTTATACGCGATGTACATTATGAACACGAATTTTGTTGTTATCGGTGTTGATGCAGGACGAAGAAGCATACCTTGAAATATACGAAGACGGTGATCAAAATTGAACGACTTCACACACGAATCAAGTAAGGTACTTGTAAGTTTTTGTTGTTTGCCGCAACGTCTACGCAAAACTCGAGTTACACGATCGGTAACGCTCGGCATGCATGAGACAGCTGCTCCAATGTGAGATATGGAATAGGGCCCTCGATTTTATATTTTTAAACCTTTAGTTTAATTATACGTGTTTTAGACCAATCCGATTGTAGGCTTTCATTCTTTTAGCCGATTTGGTTATTGTCTTTTAAGATATCTCCGTTGTCTTAATCTATATGATAACATATTATAAGTGTCTTTTACTTTATAAGCGCTAACAGAGTAAACATTACCAATCTCACTTACCAGGTAAGATTCTTGATTAGCAAAATGACACCGTAAGATTGATGGTAAAAACCATCATCTTTTACTGTGTAAGCGCCTTTTTTCCCAACAAAAGATATACACGTTTAGTTAACTGGTAAGACGGTAAATGTAAAAATTACAACAATACCCTTTAAAGATAGACGGTTACCGGAAGTTATGAGAGGTTACACGACGGTTCCATAGCATTTTGGAACAGAAAACATCAAACTAATCAACCATTGTGCCACCACAGAAACAATGAAACTGTGTCATCCGGTGATTGCAGGTTCTAGCCAGCTTATACAAGTGTGCACTCCACACCTCCTAACTCGTAGTATAGCTTAATTAACAACCCCTTGTAAATCCAATTACGCCAAATGGTCTGATGGTTCACTGAAATCGCACCCGTGGTGGGGTTATGGGGTAAAGATTTACTCAGACCTAACATCTACCCCCAAAAGTACAACAAATGTTTACGCATGAAGACTCCATACGTGTGAAAATCGTGTGGGAGAGAACGGTAAATTTGAGACAGAGATGATCAGAAACTGTTTTCTTTCAAAACTTCAATATATTACATATAACAAAAATTCGATACTTACAAGCCGTATTGGTCGCTCGGGTCCGCAAGAATCAAAGCCACCGTTCAAAGCATCTCCCCTTTGCCGGAAAAGTTGTACCATCTAAAACATCGACAAATGCTGCGTTTGACCACACTTAGACCAGAAAATCTCAGGAAAACAAGGATCAACAGACGGTCAAATGCGTCATTTTCCTTCATGCCTCCACTGCTGTGACCTCTTCATCGGTTGAAACGATATCTTCAGCATCTGTTGTTTCTGCATCTTTTTCCATTTTTGGTCCCTCGATAAGCTTTTCTCTAAGTTTGGTCTCTAGCTCATCGCGTATAGTTAAATTCTCAGCCAAGTATCGTTTGAAAGCATCTTTGCCACAAAACTTCATGTCGCCCATGCTATAATATGCACCTGCTTTCATAATAAATTTGTGCTTGAGACCCAACTCTATGAGCTCTGATTCACGACATATCCCCTTGCCAAACTCGAGCTCAAATTGGGCCGTTCTATAAGGCGGAGCAAGCTTGTTCTTCATAATCTTCACAAGAATTTGACTTCCTAGTGTCTGCAAAACATAAAAGAGCACCAAAAGCGGTGAATCATAGTGGAACCATCGACTGTATGCATATAGTGAAATTACTACATAAGATTCAAATTGTCGATGAAATGCAGTACCTCTTCTCCCTTCTTGACCAGTCCTATTCTCCTAATATTTAGGCGAATTGAAGCGTAAAACTTCAAAGCGTTTCCACCACAAGTCACTTCAGAGGGTGCACCAAACCCAAAAGTCTGTAACTTTGACCTTACCTGAGTGTAAAATGCAAGCAATATCAGTGAAAAATATTGGCATTTCCCCCTCGGAAATATGGTATCTGGGGGTGAACTATCCTCTACACCAGAGAGTAGAGCGCCAATTTTCGTTAATGAATTGGGAAATTTTCATTGCTTACTTATGGTACTAGAGTTGTAGAGGAAAGTTTAAATGAGAGCCGTAAATACTTCGAGAAGCCCGAAACCAACTATTTCATTAATTATTCATGATGAGTAGCCTTAAATATTTATAAAATATTATTCATCATGAATATCATGATTATCATTATTCATGACAATAATCATGAATATCTATCACGATATTCATCGTGAATAATGTACAAACAGTTGGTTTCCAACTTCTCAAAATATTTACAGTTGTTATGTGAACATGCTCTAGAGTTATAAACACTATAAGTCACAAACATAGCTACATTTTATCCTTCTATATATAACACACTTTTGCTTTTCATTTACACGAGAGAGGCATAATTGGTACCTGATTAATGAAGATCAAAATAGTCTGTGACAAAGATAGTGAATGGCTCAATTTACGAAGTGCCTGGCTCATAAGCCTAGCTTGCATTGCCATATGTGCATCACCCATTTCACCATCAAGTTCACTTTTAGGAACAAGGGCAGCAACCTGAAAGCACATTAACAAACCATAAGCAAAAAACAGAAGCAAAAATATTTGGCAAGACTTGTCATTCATAAAATAGGATATCATTAAACGAGACGTGCATCATTTTTGTGCAGAAAAGAGAAGTAAACATGCCACAGGTGCAATCGGTAAAGAGACAAAACTGAAAAGGATGGGACAGAACGTGATAGAATTAGACGGGCATTAGTGAGGTAGCTGGTGAAAGAATTGTGCAAGGTTTTGGGTTTTTAATCGGACATGGGTAATTTAGTAATTTACCAATTTTGTGCCATCTCCCTAATTTCTGTTCCGCATATTTTAGTGAAACAAAAGATATCGCACCAAAAATGTCACACTCAGTCTTGTCCTGTCTTGGTCTAAATGTCGGACTAGACGTGAGACAACAAGTTTTTGTTCTGTCTTGCCCGCATTCCAAATGCACCCTATGAGTTTATATATAAAGACCTTACTTACACTGTCCACAACAACAACATCAACTGAACCGCTCCTGATAATGGTATCTACAAGACTCAGAGCTTGTTCACCACTATCTGGCTGTGACAAAAGCAAATCCTTTGTGTTCACACCAATAGCCTCAGCTAATGATGGATCAAGAGCATGCTCGGCGTCAACAAATACACAATAACCTACAAAAGATTACAAGAAAAAATGACTTTCTGTAGACAATCTTTTTATGAAGTGTGTCGTCACAAAAAAATAATTCTTCAACTTGAAAAACTAAAAGCATGATGAAATAAGTAGAGATGGAGACAGAACATACTAAAATTCTCCAAAACCAACTTAGGGGCTGTTTGGTTGGTTTTCCAATAGTTTTGTATGGATAAAATTGTATGTGTAGATTAATCTGTCTATATAGATTGGGAATGTTTTTGTTTGGAAGGGTTTTCTAATAGACAGAAGCTATGCTGGTATAACGGTCAAAATACAAAATGGCGGTCACAACAGATGTTTGAAATAGCGGTTCATATTACATATTTCTTTAAATTATATATATAATGTATATGTATGCATACATAAACATATCATATGCATTAATTAAAAAATATAGCTTTAACATCAAAAAATCAACTTAAACGAGTTTCACAAAACAAAATAGAAAAAAAAGTGTTCATAAACGACTTCCTTCCAAGAGTGGAAGAGGCTATCGAACGTGGACAAACCTACGACTTCCTTCCAAGTTCCAACTCGGGTTGCTGATAGAAAGAAAGCTATTGTTAATTGTTATATTGTTATGTTAATGGATTAAAATTAAAACATCTCCAAATCAAAATAAAAAGCCCAATTGTCCAAGTCAAAGACTCAAAAATTAAAGCCCAAAAAAACCCAAACTAAATAGCACTATTGCGGATCGCAATTTGACCCTAACTATCGGTCAAATTGCGGTAAAAGCGCCGATATTAGCGGCACTGCTATTTGACCACCGATATTTTGCATAGGTCCGATATCCGATATTGTGCCGCTATTGCGCCGCAATTAACAGCATAGGACAGAAGAAGCATTTTTTTTAACCGCAAGGGGTGTGTTTGTAAAAAACTTGGCTGTCTGAATCAAGGTTTTAAAAGACAGAATCGGGCCTCGAGAAGTTCTCCCTCAATGAGGCCAGGTGTAAGCCTCGAGGCGGTCCGAGGCGTAAGCCCCGAGGTGGAAATATATATACACCAAAATATGTATATATACTACACATTTATATACAATACGTATATATAATACTAAATTGCTAATAGCGTTGTTTCAATGGTTCGTTACTGGGGAAAGAGTGAAACTATGAGATAGGCTGAGAGGGTGTGGAAAAATTGGTTGCTTGGAAGAAGAGGAAGTGTCAAACAACACTTTTTGATTGATAGGAGGAAGTAATAGCTTTTTGGGTTTTAAAATATTAAAAACACATATTGGGGTCATTGGGATTTGACTTTTAGTTTTTTAAAATAAAAAAGGACACTTATACCATAAAGAGAAGTACTAATACTGCCATGAACTTATAAAAAAGCCAAAAACTATTATCAAAGCAGATCATCTGAGGTGTACGCCTCGACACCGCCTCACGCCTCATCGAACCGCCTCACTGAACCAGGCATAAGCCTCGTCCAGAGTCCGAGAGGCGCTGCTTCAGGTGCCGTTTTGGGCCGCCTCGAACGATTTTTAAAACCATGTTCTGCATAAAGCTCCCCCCTAGAAGCTTACTGAATAAGCCACTTTCTATATCATTAAGCCACTACCGAAAAGTCATGTATAGCTGACCAAATAAGCTGTGAGTCCCATTAAGCTGCTAACAAACAGACCCTTACACACTTTACTGCTTTCAAAGACATGGCTGCAACTTTGTTATAATCTGAATACAGATCACGAAGCAAAATAATTTAAATGACTCCTTCGCGACTGTAAATCATAGAAAACTATATATCCGAATCAACGGGTTGCCGTTGGTGGAATTAATTAACCATGGGGGAGACTTATAAACAAATTTAAACATAACAAATAAGTACACATGTTCACGCCTTGAGCAACTAAAAACTCCTACAACGTTCTCTAGAATACACAAGCAAGATATGCTTTCAGCTACCTCTTAATGTGTATAAAATTTAACAAAGCATTGAAAACTAACCTCCTTGCTTCTGCGCTTCAGCAATTACATGCAGAGCAAGAGTTGTCTTTCCAGAGGCCTCTGGGCCGTATATCTCAACTACGCGTCCCTGCATAAGTAGATTGATGCGTTAGAAAAGAAACATAATTTTAAGCACCGTATCATTCAATAACCTATTCAAATGCAATTCAAAAGAGGTAAAGAAAATGCAATGTAAACAACACAAGTAGGTAAGAGACCTTAGCTAGATGCTCTGGCAAAAAACCTCATTGTGAGCATCAATCAGGACCTCCGAGTCACAAACATAACTAGAATATTCCTCAGCCACAAAAGTGCGCATTGATTATCACGATCATGGGTCCATTAATACAATGCTTAAGATCACGAGTTTATAAGCAAGCATGCAAATATCGAGAAAATACAATGGTCTATAGCAATAGGAAACTAAGAACATCAAATCAAATTGGCAGGTAATTCTTGCTATGCATCTAATCACCAACCAAGTTCCAAAAGTGCGGTCTACACTCCAAAGCATAGACTTATTCAAAACGTTACTTTAATACTGAATGGACTATAAAACACTTGGACAACAACATTTCTGAATGGAACCATACGTTGCAATATCAACAGCAGGACAAAGAAACAAATAAGATGAAAATGGAGCAACATTATAGCATGCATGAACAAAAATTTCAAGCAAACCCCGTTGTTATAGTTACTGTATGGTTGTTTCACCACTTCATCAAGTTCAGTCTCACAACCAACTTGCTATGAAGGGCTAGTTGTTGCAGTTATTATATATTTTGTATAAGATTACCTACTGAACATACATATAAATTTAAAATATATACATTCCAATACTTTTAAGCAAAGAGAAATAGGACACTAACACAGTGTAAATACCTTCGGAAAGCCACCAACTCCCAATGCTATATCTAATGCAAAAGATCCTGTAGACACCACTGGGACTTGTCTGGGAGAAGCACATTGACCAAGAAACATGATAGATCCCTTTCCATGGGAAGTATTGATTTGATCAATTGCTTGCTTTAAGGCTATATCTTTTTTAGACATGTTCTCTTCACCTGAATCACTTCCATCAGACCTTGATTTCTTTTTACCTAAAAGTTGAATGCCATATACTGATAAGCTCATTACCAATAAAAAAAATATAAAGAGATCGCATATATGTTTTTAACTTTGCATGCATGCATGATATAAGCATAGAGAACTACAAACCATTGATTCATTGCAAGAGAAGAAAAAGGTAAATTCACGTTAATTCTATTTGCATCCCAAATTACATGTAGTTATGTAATACACACACACACAACTACAACAATAACCTAGCAAGTGAATTGAAGATAGTTGGTTCATGTCATGTGATGCAACAACATATTCTAAATTGATTGGATTTCAATGGCCAATATAAGTAAACTGTCAGAAACTAGGTATCATAAAGATAAGTGGGTAGCTTCAAGAAAGAGCATTTAAGTAGGATGCTCTAGCTTGGCTTAAGCTATTTTGGATTCATTGGCTACATATGCGGGAGACAAAGCAAGCGAATTTTGGGACAGGCTTAATAGGTGCAACAGAATGTCAACAACCAAAATAGGGAACAAGAGTTTTTGTAGAGTTATACCATTGAGCAAGGAAGTCAAAATTTGATACTGCATCCTTCCCAATTCAAATCTTATTAAAGATATCTAATCATATATATATCTTACATTTATAACTTAATACCAGATGAAGCAAGTGCTCATACCAGCTCTTCCTGAGTCCTGACAACTAACCCACCAATCATTGCTCGCTCATAAAGTTTCAGCATAAACTTAAAACTTCTAAATTATTCACACATACTGATAGAAGGAAAGGATTGTGTAAGATGAACTGTTAAACCTATGACATGTAGCATATAAGAGAAGACATACACAATGAAAAAAGAAACTGTAGTCCATCTAGGAATGAGTAACACCTTTAGTAGAGAAGCTGCTTATCTGAGATGACGATCCCAGTAAACATCTCTTGGGAGTCTGCACACCAACAGCCAAGTAATAATCATTTCAAAACCTTAATATATAATGAAACTGTTTCTTCTTCAAGGATGACATCTACAGCATATTCAATGCCCTTGTTTTTCACATTCTTAACTTAAAAAAGAGTTAGAAGGATTCTCATCAGAAGGTCATATCAGTGAGAAAATCTTTTGACCGTTTGTAAGTTGCAAGTTGCAACAATATCAACAACAGCAAGCACAAAGACCAATGAAAATCTGACAACATTCCTGATGGGAAGTTGTGATTGGTCAAAAGATAACCCCAGAGACACACCTCTACTTAAATAAAAGGTATAGATCAACACATTTGTGAGAGACGTCTCGCTCAGGGTAACTCAATACAATGGCTGCTCAGCACTCTTAGGTGTGTATCTAGTATCGTACTTGCTTCCCATACCAAACATTTTCAGATTATTATTTTCATCTTTCCTATTTATGTAAACAGTTTAGTCTCTTAGTTGGTCACAGCCAAAGTATTGCATTAGGACAGAAAACGAGTTATTCTAACACTGAGTATAGTATCTTGTTCTGGGAAGCCTGAAACTCAAGAATCTCTTGCTAAATAGTAGAAAGAATAAGGTGATCACCAAGGATAGCATAGAAGTCATCTGAACCTGCATTTCTCAGGCTTGGTGAAAAGCCTGAATGATCACTAGGATATTTTCAAGTTTTTTATATCACAATGTCAAAGCTAAAGAAGTAAAGAGTAAAGTCTAACACCCACACATGACACAAGTCACACAACTGATAGCAAACAGGCTTTGATCTGGCTTCTAAGTTCTAATATATAATAGTAACACTTGTTAAGTTGTTTGTGAGCTCAACATGTAAGTACGAAAATTATACACAAACACATTATCCCATCAGGGCAGGATATCGATTCTCAGTAACCTGTCCATTGTGTCACAGAGAGAATCTCCAACCAAGAAACCCCTGATTAAACATCCACAATCAGACACCTTCCCCAAACCATATCGTATTATTTTAAAGATTTCTCTAAATTATTTCAGTTTAATCACGTAACTAACACCAAACCGTAGAAGTACAGAAGCAATGTAAAACAATAAACAAGAAATCGAAGAACAATATGAAGAAGTATCCGAATCACCTCAAAATAACATACGGAACGTTTGAGAATCGATACGTTTCGAAGCAACCTCGCCATTCTTCGTATACTGCTAGTGTCTTCGAATATATCAAAGATTAAAAAAAGATTCCTTTATACACGGACACAAGTAGACGGATTTTAGGGCTTGTTGAGGGTGTGCATAAACCTTAACCAAGTCCCCTTCTTTCACTCTTTTGAGAGGGAGATTGACTGGTTTGATTTTAGGGTTTAAGGATCTCCGTTCCCGTTCTTTTCCCTCCTTTTGAACCGAAAGATATTTACACTTACCACCCCTTATGTTCCATTTTATTGAAAATAGTATCCATATTTTAAAAACCTCTTTCAAACATTCTTGTATCGACTATATATTTTGTCAAACAACAAAATGATGCGCAACGTAACGAAGTTCGTCTTACTTTTATTTAATGTAAACATCGGTTTTTTTTTTTAAATTAATGTAACGAACGTATATTTTTTCTATTTTGTATCAGTGTTATTTAGGCATGGGAATGCACCTCGACCTATCCGAGGAACCCGGTCCATCCGTCTCGGTCTGGGATGGGGACGGGGATCCCCGTTATATATATATATATATATATATATATATATATATATATATATATAGAGGGAAAGGTTTAAACGAGAACACCTTTCATTTTACGAGAATACGAGAACACCCTTTTACTATAGATAATCGCATGTGATACTATTATTTTATCACATATGATACACATGTGATACTAAATTAGAGAAGAGGATGATTTTCGATGCGATCTTGGTTGCGGGTCAAGTCGTCCTTACACCATTAAGCCTCCTCACAAGTATTAACACATGTGATAAGGGTGTTGTTGATATAACACTATAATCCATTAAGACCATCATATGTGATGCTAAATCATAGACACAGACAACCTTTGGCACGGCCTAAGTCGTAGAACATGTTATCCGCACATCACATGGTCCCCTTACGCGTATTATCACATGTGATAAGGGTGTTCTCGCATTCTCGTAAAATGAAGGTGTTCTCGTTTGAACCTCCACCTATATATATATATATATATATGTGTGTGTGTGTGTGTGTATGTATATATTATTTATTTTAACTAAAGCGGTAATCCATAATTTTCTATTTCCTAACTAGGTTTGTAATCTAAAATTGTTATTTTTTTGAATGTTAATATGTAATATTTTGGATGTCAAGTCATAATATAATTGCTCGATAAGTTTTGTATATTACTCGATATGGTTTTATATTACTTAATATCTTTTGGTACATGTGACTTTAAGATTTTTTTGATTAATTGATTTTTTTTAGGTTTTAGGTTATTAATGATTATATGATGTTGTGGTTTTTTGCATTAAATTAAATTCATCTTGATTTTAGGTTTATTAAAAATGTTTGAGATTTAAACATGTATGATCTCTCACATATTTAATTTAAAATAACTCACATAAACGAAAAAAGAAAACCCCTTTCCCCGTCGGGGATGTGATTATATTCTCCGGCGGGGATGGGGATGGGGATGTGATTATATTCCCGGACGAGGACGGGAATAGAGATAAATAATCGGGGACATGGACGGGAATTGAGGTCCCCATCCCATTCTCATGCCTAGTGTTATCTCATAAACCGGTCTTCAAACGATCGGTATTAATCGAGTTTGATGCGACATTTTTTTCACACTTTTGAGTGAATTTAATTGGTTGGTTTGGTTTAATATTGTATAAAAATCAATTAAAACAAACTTTATTACATTTTTACTTTTACTTTTATGAAATACAACATAGTGTGTATAAAAATCATTTCATATTTATATTAATTAAAGACTATACGCATAATACAGCGAGATATATCTTAATTTTGATGTTTTGTCTTATTCATTGACTCTATAAATGTTTATGATACGATTTTATTTGGTTTTAAGAATATGATAATGTTTTTATTTTTGTAAAACATTTTTTTAAGATATCATAAAAATTTGAAAAATATATCAATATTAATGTCAAATTAACTGTTTAAAAGCTCTCGGTTTTTGTAATTTCTTTAATCCATTTTTTTAATTATAATTTACTTTAAGTTTAATAATAAAATAATTTATTTTTGGTTTAATATTATAAATTTTATAAATATAATAATTAAGTATTTTGTTAGAAATCAATGATTATCCTAATATAATTTAAATATTTTGTATTTAAAGTGGGATATTTATCGTGTATTTTATTATTTATGTACAGTTAGTTACTTGAATTCAAATATGAAGTTTTGATAAGTTTTACATATACACAATTTACTTGTAATCTTGAATTTTAAGTAATATACATAAATAAACAATATTTTATACATAAAAATTAGTTTTTAAGAGTTTTTATCAAATACGTGATATAATATAGATAAATTAAATGATAACATAATTCAAGAAAATCCATCCGGATCTTCTAGAAGGGGAAACAAGAGATCGAAATGAAACATAAAGGGATCCAAATGAAACAAGATGTTGAAGATAAACAACAAAAAGGCAAAAAAAATGTTTTCGAACAGACCGGAAGCAACTGAATGGCTTTGGTGCAAAATGATTAGGTGGTGAAAATGATTAAGAGGCTCTCATGATATAGTACAAAATGAAATATAATTGTTTGGTGATTGTTTACGATGAAATTAGGGCGCTGAATACAAAACCATTCAAAGGGTTTTAAAACCATTAAGAAACAGACTTTTTTTTTGGCCAAACAAGATTCACCATTTAACGATTCAGATGCTGCCTCTTAATGGAACTATTAAGAGGTAAACAAACAACCCTTGAGACTTGGTAGATTTTATGTCCAATTAAGGCGTTTAAGCACCTGGATTGACCATATAACAAAAGGAATAGAGTTCAAGAAACGTTGAATACAATTGAATCAGACATAACGTGGAAGTCCTCGTGAAGGCGATTACGATTCTTAGAGCTTTACGTTGTGGGATAAACTATCAAGAGTTACTTGGTATCCGGGATTGAAGCGCAACATGAAATTTTGATCGGGTTAAGGACCAGCGCAACCGGAAATAAAGGTAAGGACTCCTGTCCTGTGTCGAGAGGATTTTCCTGACTGTCACTTTCAGAATACCATGGGTTTAATCGAGGTGCGCACAAGCGGACCCTGAGACCAAACACCCAGGTTGGTAGAAAAGAAGAGAGAAAATATCTTTGTATTCATGTGTAACCTTTGGCTTGTCCTTGATGATGCTTTTTCTTTGGAAACAGCCAATGCTTGTAATAAGCTAATAGTTAAAGAATACAACGCATATTTCGTTATCGAAAGGTAATCGGCAATAAGAAAAACAGTAGTTTTCTTAGAAGTTATCCAATCTTTGAGAACCCTAGAATTCAATTTCAGTTGTATCTAGTTTCAAACTGACGAATGATCGTTATCAATTATCATAACTTGTAACTCACCTCAGTCCCGGTTCTTGTCTTTGGTGTAAATTGTTTGGAGCTTTTTACTAATTGTAGCTCGGAAACCGCCCTCTTTCTTTGGTGACGGGGTATCCTGATCAGAATCTTTCTTCGACTGAATTGTGTCAACGATGGCCTCAATCTCTTCTTTAGCACGATGAAAGATACTAGGACCTCTGAATTCACTGATCGGGGTGTCAACATCAATATCCTCCCCCTTTCCATGAGTCTCCTTATGATGAATGAATAACTTCTTCTTTTTAGGTGTTTCTTCTTTTACTTCTATGTTATCTTGCTTCGTTTTACTGGGACCGCCCTCTTTCTTTGGTGAACGGGTATCCTGATCAGAATCTTTCTTGGACTGAATTGTGTCAACGATGGCCTCAAACTCTTCTTTAGCACGATGAAAGATGCTAGGACCTCTGAATTCACTGATCGGGGTGTCAACATCAATGTCCTCCCCCTTTCCATGAGTCTCCTTATGATGAATGAACAACTTCTTTTTAGGTGTTTCTTCTTTTACTTCTATGTTATCTTGCTTCGTTTTACTGAGACCGCCCTCTTTCTTTGGTGAACGGGTATCCTGATCAGAATCTTTCTTGGACTGAATTGTGTCAACAATGGCCTCAAACTCTTCTTTAGCACGATGAAAGATGCTAGGACCTCTGAATTCACTGATCGGGGTGTCAACATCAATATCCTCCCCCCTTCCATGAGTCTCCTTATGATGAACGAATAACGACTTCTTTTTAGGTGTTTCTTCTTTTACTTCTATGTTATCTTGCTTCATTTTACTGGGACCGCTCTTATGATCTTCTGCCATCAATATCAAGGAAAACTGTTTAACAGGACCCACGGGAGGTATGACTTATCAAGTGAATATGTTCCTCATTAGTTCTATCTACAAAGTCTCGCTACAAAAAGATTAGCTTTATAGGACGTCAAAGACGTCTGAATATCCTAATAGACTTAAATTTATAAGACCAAACAATCGTTCGTCCTATGTAAAGGTGTTACAATAGGATGTTATGACGTATTTGAGCATCTTAACAAGTTTTTAGGACATCTTTGAAATAAAATGTCTTATTAGGTTTTTATAACACTTTGATAAGTGTCATGTAGACGCATCTTTTTATAGGACACTTGTTAGGACATCCAAAAGTGTCCTATCAACTTACTGTAACACATTTATACAAGACGCACAATTGTTTGATCCAATAAACTTTCCTATCAAGCAGCGTATGAAGCTGATTTTGTTGTAGTGTCTGTAACAAGCATTCAGTTAACCATTTTGTGTATTTTTACTTGAAATAAAAAGGGACAGACTCCTTTCAAGGTAAACTTTGGAAATCTAGCAGTTTATAAGATGTCTCGTGTCATAGGTGCTTCTAAGGACACACAGGCAACAAAGCCTCCTCTTTACATGGGCTTCCACTAAAGTTGCTTTGGTTCATTGTTTATAAGCATTTCTTGCATGTTCCATGTATTTATAATTATGCCAAACATTCTTGAAAAAACAGAAGCGGTTACATGAAGTTCTCTTTGCTAGAGAAAAAAGGTTGTTTAGTGTTTTATGGACATTTTTCTATGGCAACAGGATAATGTCTATATAAGAAGTTCCGTTATATAATCCATCCAGGTCTATCATTCATCTGTTTTTATAATTAATGATAACATGCAATAAAGTCTGCGAGATTGTACCTGCAAGTGAACTTTGTTTCTCATATTTCAATCCTGTAAATGCGGCATCATTCCTGAAACTATATGATCAGTAACCCTTTATAGCCTCCAAATGTACTTCCAATATGGTTTCCGGTAGATACTATGCAAATACAATCAGCATACCTTTCAGCACTTGAAGGCGAGTCTTGATTTTTATCTTCTTTACGTTGATGAATGGATTCAACTATGGCTTCAAATTCCTCCTTTACTCTTTCAAGCACATTTGGGCCTTTGATATCACTGAGCGGGGTATTGACATCTATATCATCATGCAGCCCCTGAGTTTCCTCGTTATGTGTTGGCTGTTTCTTGGTGTGCAACAATGCCTCTGTCTCTTCTTTACTGTTCTCCAACACTTTGGGTGCTTCTACCCCCTTATCTAACATCAATTCACATACTACCATAAGCATACAAGACTACAATCATAAACCGATAACCATATGTGTTTATTCATTACTATGTGATATTAATAACTTTGATTTTGGTTCATAAGTTTCATTCATTATAGAAATATATCAGTTTATAGGATGTCTCTTGTGTTAGGTAAAGTTTCTTAAAAGGGCATACAGGCAACAAAGCCTCCTTAATGGGCTTCCACTATGGCACTACACTTGCATTGGTTAATTGTTCATAAGCTTTTATTGGATGTTCCCTGAATATATATTTCTGCCAAAGAATCTTTAAGCCGCGGACAGCGGCAGTTAAGGTTGAGGCATGGTTGAGTTACTTTGAAGTTCAGCAAAGGGTTGCTTAGTGTTTCATGGACATTTCTCTACAACATAATACACTTTTGGCATGATCATGTTTATATATATAGGGTGGTAATGATTTGAGAACCCCGTTGTTTGTGAGAACTTTGCGATCCAACCACATGTATGGGTTCGGTGAGTAATCACCGTGTGAATTACCATGTCTAGGTTTAATGTTTGAAACATAAGACACTCATGCCTCGGATCAATGAGTATTAACAATATGAATTACCATGTTTGAGTTTAATGTTTGAAATAGAAAACACAATGGTTTGGGTTCAGTAAGTAATCACATTGTGAATTACCATGTATGGGTTCAACATGCGTGGTTGTGAATGAATCTCACAGTTCTCACAAAATACAAAGTTCTCCCATGAATATCCCCCTATATATATAATATCATTATATAACATTCAGCCACTCCACCATTGCAATTTCAGCTATTCTTACTTGCAACTACAACTGTAAACTATCACACATGCCTACATTCAAATAGTATTAAAATTAGTGATATAGCATGTACTAAAGTCCACAAAATCCGGAAACTGTACCTGCAGGTGAACTTTGATTCTCAATTTTATGTGGCATCATCCCTGAAACCATATGATCCAAAACCCTTTTTACAGCATCCAAAAAGTACTCCCAATATAGTTTCCAATAGACATTATGCAAAAACAATGTAATGCTAACAATATACACCTTTGAACACTTGATGATGAATTTTGAAACTTATCTTCTTTACGTCGATGAATCGTTTCAACTATAGCCTCAAATTCTTCCTTTGCTCTTTCAAATGCATTTGGGCCTTTGATATCACTGACAGGGGTATTCACATCGATATCGTCACGCACACCATGAGTTTCCACATTGGATGCTCTTGCCCCCTTGTCTAGTCAAGTCAAGCAGTATCATAAGCATACAGAACTCTAATAATCATAGCTTTATATCCATATATTATCACGAACCCACAAAATTTAAATCACAAAAGCTCATCAATCAACACAACTTTTGAAATACCCTTGTTTAATTTACTTGTTTTATTCCTGTTATCGGTTTGGTTCCTTACTTGGGCATTTCAACGAACACTTGCAGACCTCCAACGCACGACTTTGTTAAAACGGATTAAAAATAGTTTAGATCTTCCAATAAACAGATTGTGACCTAGGCAAGAACAAATATAACATCTAGAAAATGGAAATGATTTGATGGGCCGAATACATGCATAAGTGAATTGGCAATTTGGGTACCAATACGAACAATTAACTCAAAACAATAAGATGAATACCTAACGATTGATCAGGTTTCGATTCATCCAGAATCTATATTGGAGCTTGCGGATGAGAGAATTATGCGAACATTCGATTGAGAGTCTTCAAAGCGCGGGGACTGAATTAGGGATCTGTCGCAATATTTTCGCAAACAAAAATTCCTATTGGAAGATGCCAATATAAAGGTGGCAAATATATAATATACATGCTTAATCCAAAAATATGTTTTAGTATGCTTTCCTTGTGTATTAACATTAAAAAAAATAACAATTTTAGATTATAAACTTAGTTAGGGACTAGGAAATTATAAATTATTGTTTTAGTTAAAATAAATAATATATATATATATATATTATTTATTAATTAATATATATAACAGATACGGGGTGGGGTGGGAATACGATACTTCTCCCCGTCTCCATCCCCGGTTTTTAAGACAAAGGGGAACCCCTGTCCCCATCCCCGATTTAACAGGGAATCCTCCTTCCCGACTGAGGCGGGTCAGAACTCATTCCCATGCCTATCCTAAATCGGTCCCTTGAAAATCTGTTTGGTCAATTCTGGTCCACCAAAAATCCTAGCACCCAATTTATGGCCGATACTGGTCCGAACCATTGGGTCAGTCTCAAATCGGGTCCCAATTTGGACCTTAGAAAAAAATTAAAATATTTTTTGACATAAAAATGTTATACAATTTTTATAGTCATGATTTTTTTTTACATTAGCATTGAAATAAAATTCTACATAATAAAATCAAGTAGATCAAAACTTTAAAAAGATTGTATTATAATTTACAAAAACCTTGAATTATTTATAAAAATCAGGTATAAATTAATCGCTCCTGGTCCCAGTCCATTACACGGTCTCGGGCATACCTTCAAATTCTATAAAAAGTGCGGCCCCAAACCGGTTGCAAACCATTGGACCATAGTCAGTCCCAAACCCATGTCGGACTCAATTTGGCCATCTCTACTATATAGAACTAGAAACAATAACGAGATAGACCAACCCAGTATCATATGGGTCATGACTAGGAAACCGATATCTTTGCTCTGGGACTGGGACCATTCATATCTCATTATCGCTAATTGAGTGATAAGTTTTTTACAGCTCAGAAAGTTGAAACCAACATTTTGTGTTTGTTTATATTTCAGCCTAAAAACCAAATTATTTATCAGTCCTGGATTCGTTCTCGTACATTTAAATCAAAGATAAATCTATGATGGTTCAAAAGGGGGAAGGAAAACAACAAATCATATTCTTTTATTATTTATTTTTCGATATTAAATTGGTGTTATGTCGTTTTTCTTGAACGCTTTAAATAGAATTACTTGAAAGAAGAAGAAGAAGAAACCGTTTGTCTGTTTCATTTATTGTTATTTTTTGTTGGCTTTGCTTCTCTTAAACGCGGAGTCAAACTTTCCTAAGAAATTAAAAGCGTTTGTATCTGGAGCAGCTAAAGTGCGGTAATTTGAACCATAACTGTTAATCTTTCTTAACAGTGTAGAAATATCTTGAACTAGATTTACGTCTTTTGACCAAAAAATAAGGAAGAAATGATAAAAACAAGAATTCTAATTTGTTTTCAAAATGATCGAAAAGAGTTTCATTTTTAAAACGAAATTACACGTTTCACTTTTTTTTTATTTCATCATACATTGTTTCATTTTGGGGATCCCTGTCCCGGTTTTGCAGAGAATCCCTAGCTTTGACGAGACTAAGGTTGGTGATTTGTCTTGACCTAATGGAGAACCCGACTCACCCGACCTGAACGGGGCGAGGATTCCCCGCTAAAACGGGTTCCTGGTCTGAGGATCCCCGGTACACTCAAGACATGCCCGAGGGCTGTTACTTAAATTGGGTTGGGGTGGGCTCGGGGATCCCCCGTAGACTCACACTAATGGATATTATTCATGAGGTTTGACCGGAGACGAGATGTTAATCCCCTATACTCGCCGGGGACCGAAGCCAAGGCCAGGAGCTGTTACTAAGAACCGGGGTCGGGGGTTACAAAACCGTCTCATCTCCATCCCGTTGCCATGCCTAGATGAGACGAATACACCAGGATTACCAATGGGTCGGGTTGCCTACTCTATAATAACATAATATAAAATATTAATTTCATTTTTAACAAAAAATATTTAAAACGAATTATAATATATTTAACGAACATAAATATAACCATGATTATTTCATTAAAATATAATTTAGTCTTATAAACTAAAATAAAATATATCGTATTATTTCCTATATTTTATTGATTAGTTTATTTTTAAATGAAGTAAATAATATTTAATTAATTTTTTTTAATTATAACGGATTATATTTATTTATTTGATTTAATTATCGAAGATAATAATTATTAACTTGACTTTTTATATATTTTAATTAATTAAAATACTCAATTAACAAAAAGTATAAATTGTATATTCCATCAGGAAAAAGCCCGCCCATTCTCAGCTGGGATATAAACCGTTTCTTGATTCATTTCTTCAACAGATTGCAAGCGTCATCTTCACTCCTTCTCCCTCTCCCTCTTGTTTCATTGTGAATTCATGGCCGATCGTCGAGATACAGAGTCCAATATCGCAACTGGGTTTTCGAACTTTTTGGTTGATCAAGGGAACAAATTGGGGTTCTCTGGGAATCACGTTCACGCACCTGAACTGAAGAGCATGGGTTCAACTCGAATTCTTGGTGCAGAGATCATCGATACGAAGCAAGATCATAAGAGGAGGTGTTTCGAGAAATTGGTGGTACGTACAGAACGAACGACGGAAGAGAATGTCGAAGATGTCAAATGTTCATTGCAGGTTGAAGTCATTGACGATACGGCGCTAATCGAGGCCACTGCTGCTGTTTCTGGATTCAAGAGCTGTTATAAGAATGAAACTGATTTGGGTTACCGAAAGAAAGCACCCATTGGTGGTTCGAAGAAGATCAAGCAAGAAAATGATGGCAAGAAGAGGAGGAACAAGGGGTCCAAGAAGCTGGGGAAAAGCTGTTCGACGAAATGCGTGACCGAGACCAAGTCCTACATTCAAATGGCTGAAGATAAAGGAGCTACTGGAAAGAAGATTTCAGAAGGAAAAGGTTCAAAAATGTTCAGAAAAATGTGTGGTAAAGTGAAAGTTGTTTACCAAAGGAAGGATACCAAGAGTCTGAAGTTGGTAGCCACTGGTCTTGAAGAACACCAGGTAGTTGAAAACCAGAATGTGCCCATAAAGATCATTAATGGGGCCTTCCCAGAATCTGAAATGGTGAATTTGAAGGCATCAAATGGAAATGAACAAGAATCGACCATTGAATTGGTAGAAACTCAATCTGTACACCAGAATGATGATGGGTTAAACCCCAAATTTGATGACCATACTGACAAGATTGAAGAAAAAGACCAAGATGTGTGCGAAAACACCACGGTTGGTTCAAAGAAAATGGCGTATTCGAGGGAGGAAATAGAGGCACTAAGGTTTGTGGGCGAAGAAGAACAAAATCAAAAATGGGCCGAAGTCTATTCCGGGCTTTCACCTTCTGTGGCAAAGGAGTACACCGGCCTTCTAGTTGACACAGACAATCGACAACCACAAAGGTACAATCGTGTCGCAAACTGTAGTTCTACTCGTCATGCTATTCTTAGTATGCCTCCTGTTTTACCTTTGTGTTCATCTTCAAATGACCGAAAGTTTGCGCCATATGGTCGCGGTTTTAGGGTAAATTTCCACTGAAATTGCCTTCTTGCAACAATGGCCATCTGTACATGTAGGATAAAGATAACTTTCTTGTATGCCATTTTGTTGATTTCATCTCTCTAATAAGTTCTTCAAAAAAGAAATGTAAATCAGTTTGGAGAACATAGATTTGCTAAGAAAGTTGTGCATCTTGTAGCAAGAACATGTCTGAATAAAATTACTACTTGTAGATTGTCAACTATTGATCTGAAATCCAATCTCTTTAGTAGTACACATGTGTTCTAACTGATCTTTAAGTGAATCATGGAAGTTTTATGTCCATTTCTCTTATACTTTTGAGATGAATTATGTAAAATATGAGCAACTATCATGGAATCACAATCATAATCCATCCCCAATTCCCCGGATTAGTATCTGCACGTTATGCAAGTAATCTGAGAATGATTCATAATCTGTTTTTTTGGGACAAACTTTTGCAGCATGGTGATTGGAAATGTAGATAGAGTTTTTACTTCTAGCAACTTTAATTCTAATGAATGTCTACGACTCTTAGTAAATCATTATATGATAATCACTGAAAAGTTTTTGTAATTCTATTGTACTACATTTCTTAGGATAGATGACAGGTCTGCATAGATCTCAGTCTCCCAAGACTGTACTTTCAGGTGGAACATATCGGGTGTGATTGGCACTGTAACCCCCTACCTCTTTGCTCTTTGTTTGGGATTTATGGATGGCCAAAGTAATTGTTTGAGTCCTATGTTGGCTAGGCTTTGACCATTTCTTCTCGATATATGTTGGAATCTATCTTCTCCTTCCTTAAGGCCTCTTTTGAAGAGTAATCTAAATGGGTTCAAGGGATACACAAAGAACTACGGCTAAACCAAACACCAAATACAATAAATATCTTAATTTGAACAACACATATACTTTTAACACTGGATTCACATATAAATGAATTGCATCTAAAAGAAGTTAGACCGAAGAAACCGAATACCAAAATATGAATGAATAGCAACTAAGATATGGATTCACATGTAAATGAATCGCAACTAACATATTGATTCACATATGAATGATTCGCAACTAATGTGTTTAGTTGAGCCATATCAAAATGAATATATATTGAAACCAAATATATCAAAAGAGATGAAGCTTGCCTAATATCAAAACCATCAAATTTGAGCAAAAAACGAAATAACAACCCATTACATTCCAAACGAATAGGAGAAACTCAAATCAAGATATTACCATAAGATTCCATACAAATAACCCATACACTTGAGTATCACGTCACAAAGAAACAAAAATGTCTGACACAGTTGCCACACAAACATGTAATTTGGACGTATAGATCCACATATACCAAACCAACATGTAATTTGGACTTGTGGATCCACATGTACCAAATAAATGTGAGATGGGGTATCGGCACCACATCACCATCCAACAAACGAACAATTAGAAAAC